TGGAGGATATGGAGGAACAGGGGCAGCACATGGAGGATATGGAGGGACAGGGGCAGCAGGTGGAGGATATGGAGGAACAGGGGCAGCAGGTGGAGGATATGGAGGAACAGGGGCAGCAGGTGGAGGATATGGATGGACAGAGGCAGCAGGTGGAGGAAATGGAGGGACAGAGGCAGTAGGTGGAGGATATGGAGGGACAGAGGCAACAGATGGAGGAAATGGAGGGACAGGGGCAGCTGGTGGAGATGGGGCAGTTGGAGCAAACGGAGGACAAGGGGGAGGGACAGCTACTCTAGGAATCCCAGGAGCCCCAATAGTAATATATCCACCAGGACCCTCCGGTACAAACATGCCCATCGTTCAGTCAGCTGGCCCTGGGATGCCGATTTTTGTCTTTCCCCCATCAGGAGGAGGGACAGCTGGAGCATTTAGTGGTGGCACTGGGGGAGGAGAAGGGTTTTCAATAGGGTCTCCTGGATTTGCAATAACAGCAGGCGGTGGGGCAGGCGGAGGGAAAACGGGGGCAGGTAGTCCACAGATTTTTGTAATTCCTCTTGATGGGTCTCCACCTGGCATGTCATTCCAGGGAGGCTTGCTCTCAGCTGGAGGTAGCATTGGTGGTAAATCCTCCAGCAGCCCTGCCAGCCCACCCATAGTCATATATCCCCCCCTCTCTCAAACTGCGGAGGAGGACCAGATAGAAAAGAAGCACCGGTCCTTCAGAGCTCCAGGTCTGAGATTTGCTTCAAAACCAAGACCTTTGAGTGTCCCCAAAGTAATGCTGGCATCGTCAGCACTGAAAATAGTGAAGAGCCCTTCCTGAAGAGAACAAAGGTGTAAGAAAACAGAAAAGGTAACTACATGTTCATGGGCTTAGGAAGAACTAACCTCAAATAATGAGTTTTCATGTTTTTGAAACTTGCAAACTGTAAACAAAAAGACCACATTTTAAGATGTCTTAATCAAGAATCACTAAATAACATTTGAGGTCCGAATGTTCATTTACAGATTCCTTTGTTGAGTTTGGATTTTTCTGTGCTCATAGGACTGCATAATATATGTTGCCAGTATAAAACATGCACAAACCATACAAACCATTAACCAAAAAAGAAGGAGGAATATGTTTTCAAAACAATTCACATGCCAATGCAGTATATACAAAATTTAATGGTGTTCATTCAGATAGGTCTACTCTCAATTATAGAACAAATATATTAACTTTAAAAAGAAGAATTATATAAAAATATTTTTCTTTCAGATTGCAGTGGATGGCACTGATGTCTGATGTACAACTCTTTATGATCTACGTATGTCACAACCACAATTTGATTCTGTTTCAAGTTTCTGGTACATATACTGTATGTGTGTCTGAAGACTGTGAAAAGAAAATATTTTTAAAAAATAAACAAATCTAAATGCCTGTGTACAGTTTCAGTTTTATTAAGTAATACATTTCTTTTTTATAGCCATTTAACCTTATTACATTACATTCTATTACAGAAACATGATCAAGATTTGAATGTGTCTTTCATCAGTAATATGCTTACCTGGCTCAACTGAAACATGAAACCAATAAATCCCACAGATATTTGACAGTCCTGTTTGTTTCTCAGAAGGTTCCTTGGGTACTTGTTATACTAAAAATATAATTTCATAAATTTCGAATATTTCACATCACACAGTGTCCCAACAGACACATTCATACTGGTAAGTGAATACAAGTGACTTGCTTACTTTTAAGTGAGTACATAATCATTTTTTTAAAGAAAGTAATGAACAAACATTTTTTATACAGAAATATACAGAAATACTGGCATCATAATACACATTTTGTAAAGAATCATGGTAAGATGCAGCATGTTTTATTATTGAAATGCACTACATTTGGCATGGGACCAGTGTCTTACCTCTGTTGCAACCTGTGTAATCTGGTGACCCTTTCTTGAGTCTTAAAACTCTTAAGTCTTAAGCCTTAAGAACACTGGGATGTGGGTTTTGGGAAGAGGAACTGTATGTGATACTGGGAGATGCCTCCCAAAAGAAAACATAAAAGTGTGTTTTGCATCTACAAGTGATGCTAAGAAAACAAATATTCAATACTGGTTTCCTCCTCAACCATTCTTGAACAATCCTGAATGCAGCTCTTCTGACATATCATCTTTCTGGATTTGTCATCAGCCCAAATCAGTGGATCCAACACCTGCCCAGTTAATCTATACTTGCAGAATAACCATCTATTTCACCCAATCCATAAACTGCAGGAACAACCCCTTTTCCCTCTTTTCCGGCCATGCTTGGTATTATTCTGAAGAGGAGGACAGTTGGATTGGAGAGCAGAGAGGGTGGTATGGTGGGAGTGGATGGAGGCAGATACAGTATGTTATCACAGCCATAATCACACAGTGAAAACAGCATCTGAATTGTCACATAAACACACAAATTATGGCTGATCTTGACCACATTTTCATTCTCTTCTGTATTTTATATCAGGCCTAAAAAAGCAGTAAGAGATACAAAAGTGCTTAGAAATTCTAGATTTTCTGGCCCTCATAAACACCTGTGCTGATTCCACTGGGCATAAATCTTTGCTGCTTCACACAAAAAGGACTGCCAGTTAAAGAATATCATTTTACTCGATTAAGTTAAAAAATGTATTTTATGAAAATAAATCCTACGGTAAGTAATGAGTGAAACCAGGGCAATTGCCATTTCTTAAGCACTTTGATATTTGATTTGCAACATAGTTTGTGAACTTAAGTATAATACAATCTTATTACAGTTCATCAATTCAATGTATTTTATCTTGGAGTGATTCATTATCAATTGAGCTGAGAAACTTCCAAGGTGTGGTTTATGTGCAGTTTTATTAAATATGAGTTACAACATAAAGGGTTTATTAGTTTCAGGTGAGAAAATGTTGCACCATGTATTTTAGTGTGCGTCACTGTTGCAAAACAACTCCATTTCCACCCATCCAAGAAAGATATAAATCACGATAACCTGAAACTTCACTTATTAGCCATTGTCAAGAGACAAAAAGGTAAGATATTGCATCAGTGTACTGTATGTCTATGTTTTTAGCATAAGTTTACTAGAGTGTATTTGTTGTGATAGATTGAGCAGTTCTGGTTTGTATTAATTGATATCACACAGCTTTAAATGTAATATGTAGCATACAATTTAATGGCTGTCTTTTTTAAGTCTGGTTTGCTTTCAAGGATAGATTGTTAAATAAAATATCTGTGGGAATAATACTGTACATAACAAGCAAGGAAGGCTTATAAATCTCTGTTGTGATTTGACATAAGAATGTAGAAGATGGTGGAGGCAAAGGAAATAAAACCTGTGTACAATAAAACAGTTTCTGAATAAAATAAACATCTTATCCAGTTTGAATTCCTTTGAGATGCCAAAGTCAAATATATAATATTATCATTACATCTACTAGGCAGAGGGGATGTAAAGTAGTAAAGTAATGTAAAGTATAAAAATAGGCATAATTGCTATTGTTTTGTCCAAGGGTGAAACTCTTTGTACTGAGCATATGCAATGAATCCACTCACAAATGTCTGATACTTTAGGCAAAAAGACCTAAATTAAAATCTGAATAATATTTCAAGATTTGAATGACTCACACCATAGATGTTTGTATTTACAGTAAATGTACATCAAAACTAATGCTGACTTTTTATTTTCAGGCACTTTTGTCCAACATGAAACACTTTGTTCTTGTGGTTTTGTTTTTGGTTGCAGTCTCCAATATTTCTGTAAGTACTCTGTCTGCTCTTCCTGCCATTCTGAGTGTAACCATACACATTTGTATTTACTGTTGACCATAAATGAGATATATTCCATTATCTGTGTTGTTATTCTTTTGATAATATTAAATTAGTTTTCGTAGCAAAACATTTAAAGTATTCAAAACTGAATACATTTTTATCTCCCCCTTTCTCTTCCATCTCTCTTCTTAAGAAGTCCAAAATTGCATTTTCTTCTAAACAATTTGACTGGTGTGCTATACTGTATGAGAATTAAAATGGTTGTTATTTCAATAGGCATTCCCAAGATGGTTACCTCTGCCGGGTTCAGGGAGACATGATGATAGGATGCCTCATCACCATGGAGAGCACCCTAAGTTCCCAGGAAGAGACCCACACTGCAAGGGAAAGACAACAGCTGCACCACCTTCAACCACCACTGTCACTACTAGAACAATCCCTGTTAAAACAAGTACGACTGTACAATCTACAACCTCCAGCACAACTGTGTCGTCTGCGTCTACTACTGTGTCCAGCACTGCTGGGACGACTGCACCTAACAGAGGGGATATTATGATAGTCTGACCTAACATAGAAAAATAAAGCTGTCTCTGCCCTTTCCTTTATGGAAGTTAATCCATTTGTTTTACTGCAATGTTCTACAGTACAATTCTATGCAGAATAATTAAAACAACAAATACAAACGTTTTGAAAAACATTCAATATTTTAGGTAAGATCAGATCAAAAGAGCTTTTTAGTCCCTGCATCTTCAAAATAATTGTAAATTTTAAAATTAATGTTTGCAAAAAGAAAAATTGTTGGAGACTTCTCTCTCTTTTATGTCTTTTGTTTTATTAACACATCTGAAAAATCTCAACAGCTAACTGCAAAACAAAGAACAATATCCTTCATTTATCTATTATACCCTAGATGCCAGCTATCTTAATTTGTAAGGCATCACATCATATTAGAAAAAAAATAATGATTTTATATTTTATATTCCTTTCACTTTTTCTGAAAGGTATGGGGATTCAGCATTGTTAACTATGCATTGTTAACATTGTTAAGTACCTATGTTTTCCTCTTCTGGTGTTTTAAGTTGTTACAAAACTAAATTAGGTTAGTAGGTTAAAGTTATTAGTTTGTAAGTACGTAGTCTTTCAGCCTCAATGGATTTTTAGCCAGCTGTTTGTGTCTTTCACACAATTCTTATAAATCTATGCTATGCTATAAATCTTAAATAAAATCTGTTCTGTCAGCAGCAATGAGTTTGGTTCTTATCTACTATATTGATTGGAATACGATTTAATAAATTAAGTATAGGTGGTTCCAAATGTGCTTGCATCCATCCATTCATTGTCATTATTCCTATTTCACATAAAATAAAATAAAATAAATGTACTCTGAGATGTTAAACAATCTGACAGCTCCTCATGCTCCCTATCATTGCAAAATCAATTTTATTTATTGGCTGTTAGAAGCTTGTCCACATTGTTTGTTTAACGTTCTCTTTCCACATTCATTATCTTGTGCCATTTTGTTGAACAGAAATTGTGACAGAGTTAAAAGCCCTAATTATGATGTCTGAATAGCAGTATTTGTTCATCTCTATGTGTAACTTCATTATTGAGCAATTTTGATGTGGGAGTTATTGAACATTACTTTACCCAATACCCTGTAAAATTTACTTTTGGTGTATATGTTTGTTAAAAAGTGCAAAGGTTTCTCTGAATAAAATCAAGCTGGCAGCTTATGCAAACCCTATACAGTAGCAGCAATAACACTTTTGTTTTATCATACTAGAAGCAAGAGGGGTGTTCTTTGATATTCAACATCACACAAATAGGACATATAGAATTGTTATTCTAAAATTAATATTTAGCTATTCTATTGTGCCGATGCGTTTATTCTTTCAGCGCTAGCATAGAGCATCCAGCAATAATATGTCTGATATGCTCCTCTTGTTGGTGACACAGCCTGCATTTGCCATCCACATCTTGAGGTTATTCCTCTGATGATAGTGAGTGTTCAGTGCCTGATGTTCAACTGCCGTGATAAGACTCTCTGTCTGTCCTTTTAGTCCAGAGCTTTGTAGCCATCCAATTATTATTATTATTATTATTATTATTATAGTCCTCAAAGACAAGTCCAGACAAGATGTAATGAAGGTATGACTTAAATTGCAAAATTGAGAAAACCTTTTATTATTGAACAGAAATTGTGACAGAGTTAAAAGCCGTAATTATGATGTCTGAATATTGTGAGCAGTATTTGTTCATCTCTATGTGTAACTTCATTATTGAGCAATTTTGATGTGGGAGTTATTGAACATTACTTTACCCAATACCCTGTAAAATTTACTTTTGGTGTATATGTTTGTTAAAAAGTGCAAAGGTTTCTCTGAATAAAATCAAGCTGGCAGCTTATGCAAACCCTATACAGTAGCAGCAATAACACTTTTGTTTTATCATACTAGAAGCAAGAGGGGTGTTCTTTGATATTCAACATCACACAAATAGAACATATAGAATTTTTATTCTAAAGTTCTTCCAGGATGGAGGAATCATACTATCAACAAAGATCATACTATCTTGATGTAGAACATTATTCAGGTTTTAATGTGTAATGTTTTAATGTTTTAGTGAGACTGTGCGTAGTGAGACAAATAAATGTACAAATATTTAGAATCTTATTTGGCTGAGGCATAAATGAAAAACATCTTACATTTGTACTTGCCTAAGCACATGGGTAATTTACTGAAGTCGGCTTAACAATAACTGAGAAGGAAAACAATTGTCAATAAAACAGTTTATGGTACAGAAAGTTGATAAGGTAGAAAAGGATTTTATGTTTTTTTCTAACAGTCAAAAGTTGAAGCTGTTTGTTTGAGATGATTAGAAGGTTATCAAACAAGGGGCATAGGTGGAGAAGGCATGGTCATTCATGCATTAGTTTGGTTCTGGGGATTCAATTTTCAAATTAAATTTTCAAGATTTTAACAACCGGGGTGAAATTTGAAATAGTAGAAGGTCTGTGAGGTAGGCAGGACCATTACAATACTTTAAAATCCTCTCTCTGGTGGGTGGGAAGCTAATGGAGCTTTGCTAGAATAAGGATGATATGACCTCACTGCCTTGCTCTAGTGAGTACCCTGACAGTGCTGTTCTCAAGCAGTTTAATTAATCTAATTGTCAGCAGCCATTTCAGGCTGCAGCTCACCACTGGCATCCCACTGAAGCTAAGTAAGTGTGATCCTGGTCAGAACCTTGATGGGAGACCTCCTGGAACAATTTGAAGGTTGCTGTTGGAAGTGGTGCCTTTGTGTTCCACATGCGTGATATCTCAATCTCAAGGTCATTGTATTAGCTTAAATTTTCAACCTCCTTAAGACAGACATTGGCGTCATCTGGAACATCTAATTCGATGAGAAAACATTGCTTCTTGCTCTGATCATGGAGGATGATGTCCGATCGGTTTGCTCCAATGGTAAGATCGGTGTTAACAGCCATGTCATGCATGATGGTGATGTTCTCCGTCTCCACAGTTTTTTCAGGCTGGTGATCGTCCCAGTGATCAGGCACTGTAGGCCAAGCTCCTGAAGCTTGATGAAGCTAATGAAGGTATGACTTAAATTGCAAAATTGAGAAAACCTTAGCCAGGAGGTATTTTCCAAATGCAATTATGAGAACTTACAGATGTTTTACATATGATCCAAAAAAATGAGGAAGCATCAAATTTTTGACCATTGAGGACATGGAGATAACATTTTGATGATGACTGCAGTTACTAGTTTTGGCGAAATTAGCATGGATTATGTTGTGGTGCTATTAAGTATGAGAAAACTGTGGCTCATCCGTATCCTGATAATTTTCCAATGCAGTGGACACATCAGGTTTGGTGTTAATATACAGCTGTGTGTCATCTGCATATATGTGAAAGTTAATGCCCCAATGTTGCATAATCTTTCCCAGAGGGAGCAAATACAGTAAATAAGAAACAATATGGGTTCCAGAACTGAACCTTGTGGAACACCACAAGTCACTGGTAATAACTCTGATCTTGTTTATCCAGTAGAAAAGATAGGAGAAAAACCAGCTCAGAGATGTGCCTTGTAGTCTGTAGTCCAACATTGCTCTCTGCAGAAGAATATTTTCATCCACAGTGTTGAAGGCTGCTGAGAGACAAAGTCAGACAAGACATTCGTAGATTGTTGGAAGCTTTCACAAGGACGGTCCCTGTGCTGTTAAAGGGTTGGAAACCTGACTGGAATTCTTGAAAGAGTTGGAGGGAACTCATGTGAAACTGTAGCTGAGTATCTACTGCCTTCTAGAGAACCATTGAGATGAAGTGGAGGTCAGAGATAGGCCTGTAACTGGAGAGTAGGTTGGGGTCAAGTTTAGATTTCTTCAAGAGGGGTCAACGGCATCTGTTTTGAACAGGAATGGCACTTCTCCAGTCTCAAGGGATTAATTAATCAGGTCTGTGGTAAACTGAATCAGAACAGAAGCAAGCTTTAAACACAGGCATAGGAATAGGATCCAAGGAACATGTAGTTGTTTTAATTTTAAGAATAATGTCCGACACTGCAATAGAAAAGACCCTGTTTAAGCTTTCAAAGGGTGGGGTAACTGAAGGTGGGACTGAAAGAGCAGCTGTGCAGATTGCACTAGTTGAGGAATTGTGCTTGGTTACTAACCTACCAACCAAATTAATGAGAAAACTGGGCCAAATAGTCTCCTTTTGTTTGTGTATGTTCTTATAATTCCTACATTGTTTGTGCAACATTATAACTAAGCCATTTCAACATGAAGGGATAATTATTCCTATTATGCTCAAGATTTTTCTCCAATTAAAGCTTTCCATTACAAATCCCTGTGGCCCACACAAGTAGATTTACACGCACATGGGTAACTATATAAAGAGCAATACATTTGAACTTCACTAATCTGCTCTCTCAACAAACCAACAGGTAAAACATTTATTACAATTGACAGGTATAAAAATGTATTAACTTTAACATCTGTTTTTAACATCAGAAAAAAACAGAAAGTCTGTTTTTTCTGCTATGGTGTGCTTGGCTGAATTGCATGCATGATTATTTTCATACTGTTTTAGGTAAAATATCTACTTATAACACCAGAGCTAAAAGCCTTTGTTTCTCATTTTTTCAATTTACTGCATTTCTAATAGCAGATTTTATTCTTTATGATATATAGTAACAGTAGATGGAATGGTATTATTCTATTAATTTTGTTTTATCATCATAAATCAGAGAGGTTACCATGATTAAAATGTCTGAGTGAAAATATTAAGAGGCTGTGGTGCTCCTTTTTTTGTTCTACAGACCTTCATTACATTGTAAGACTTTGCGACAGAAAGAATTGGAAATCCACTCATAACCAAACAGAGGGTTACAGTCAAAGCTACAGGTAAGAGCGATGTTTAAAATATTTTCAAAGTATCCATTCACAGCTTTTTACCTCTTTATACTGTTAATATTAATATTAATATCTCTGCACGGAATATCTTCAAAATACCTGCTCAGTTGTATTGTAATGCTGCAAATAGGTTACTTGTGAAGTCTTACTATTTCATTTACCTTTAAGCTCAGCTTGAACATTATAGATAATTAAAATGAACAAATGTTTTTACTGATTAGCTGTGAAAGAGAATAGTAGACAGTTCCAGCCCTGTCTGTAAAATGTACAGTAACTCAAAGAACAGTCAGACCAGTGACAGTCTGTCCCAAGACTCCAACAGCACAACCACATATTAGTTTGCCAAACTTATAGATCGAATGTATTATTCAATTCATAATTTTTAATTAAACAGTTAATACTATGAGTATGTATTTTTAATAATTTATACAGTATATTATATATACATATTTCTAATATATAATTTACATATAATTTGTAATAATTTCCAGTATATATATATACATAATACTGTCATCGTTTAGCATGTTGCACACAATAGATTTCCATTAACACTGTACTGTGTTTCTGTGTTGCCTCGAGGTGACAGAGCTGCAATGAACAAGATGAGCAACACCCATTGCAATCCCAAAAAACAAGCTTGTAAAACCAAAACATAATTTAAATGACACATCTCAGAACAGTGAAATTCCATTCAAAGCAACATAAGATTATCTACTGTAAATATGTAATTTGAGTAGCACATTATGGAAGGAGGCACAGTGGCTGTAGATTTACTTGTGGTGCTTTTGCTGCTTTTTCTTGAGCAGAAGACAATAAGCTAAACTGTAGTCCTTCTTAAATGACACTGCTCCTTTATACTCTGCCATTTTCTCCATAGCAGATTCATGCACAATATGACAAAGGCACAAACAGACAGGGTAAAAAAAGCCTTCCTGCACCCCAGAACAGCCTTAGTCATTTGGTGTTCAGTCACTCAGGTGTAAACAAACTGACCTTTCCTCAGAAATCTGTGAGCCCACACATAAGATAAGATCACTTTATTAGCCATATACAATTTCTTGCATTAGGAATTTGTCCCTTAGCATACCCCAGCTTGCTCTCCATGAGATACAGACACACAGACAGAGAGAGAAGCTTGGAGTCAGAGCGCAGGGTCAACCATTGCACAGCACCCCTGGAGCAGTTAGGGGTTAAGGGCCTTGCTCAGGGGCCCAACAGAGTAGGATTTTTCTGCCAGCTGCTGGATTTGAACCAGTAACCTTCCAGCCACAGGCATAGATCCTTAGCCACAGTGCCACTGCTCTGCCCCAAGATGGCATATGTATAGTATTCTGCTTTTTCAGGCATAATTATAGTCTCTTTCCACCCTGACAGTAGAATAAAATTAACCTTGGTGCAAAGAAACTAAAGAAGGTGCATGCTTACTCTCAGCACTTTGCTGGGGTGTGGTGATTGTTCATGGGCACTGCAGAATCCGGTCATAGAATTACTGTACACTAGCTTCTTTGGCACAGCTCTCCAAGCCAAAAACCCTGATGAACCTAATAGAATACACTTCTGGAAATTTCTAAATGCTTGTCCCATGGTTCCTAAAGCCCTAATTTAAATTTATTTGATTAATGAGCTAGTGGGCTACCTGGTCTCCTTTTGTTTGTAACCAATAACTTCACATTAGCTTATGGATGTCTTTTCAACATGTGTAAAATGTGACAAAAATGTACAGATTAAAACCCACACAAGGATATACATTCTTATGTAAGTGCTAACAAATATAATGTATTAATAAAATCGCCTATTTTTCAGGTGATTGCATCAACCATGAAGTTTTTTGTGCTTACTTTATTCTGTGTGGTTGCATCTGTCAGCGTTTCTGTAAGTATCTTTTAAATAAATAAGTTTGCTCAGTTCAGTATAACACAGCAATGTTTAAATTAGAAAAGGTAATATAAATCATCACATTTTAATTATCCTTTTTATCTATTTTTTTCCTGCTGCTGTTCTTTATTCCTAAATCATTACAGTTTACTCTTTTTATATTTTACAAGTCATGTTTTTATGTACCATTTAGATGTGATAAATCATACTGATAAGTCATATTGCTGTTTGTTACAATATTTCTTAAATGCTGTATATTAAACTTTTGTATACAGAAAGAAAATGAGCTTATAGTGTAAAAAATGAATAACTTGTAAGAACTTTACCTAACATAACCAAAATGATTCTTCTCTTGCTTTGGTGTGATCTGTATTGCTGTAAATCACTGGTATTTGGGGATATTTGAGTTATACGGTTTCTACATTATTTTCTGTATCTAGGAATGATTATTATATAATTATAATCATAATTGAAATACATAGTAAGATCCCTGCAGAAATATATATTTTAACACTCAAACATCCCCTTTTTTAAATTAGGAATAATGAAGCCTAGTAGATTTTCTGCAGCTTTTGATACACCTTGGCTGGTGTGCTACATGAGAATTAAAAGGGCTTTTACTTCAACAGGCATTCCCAAGAGGGCCACCTCCGCCGGGACCAGGGAGACATGGTGATAGGAGGCCTCCCCCCCACCATGGGGAGCACCCTAAATTCCCCGGAAGAGACCCACACTGCAAGGGAAAAACTACAACTGCACCAACTTCAACCACCACCGTCACTACTAGAACAACCCCTGTTACAACAAGTACTACTGTACAGTCTACAACCACCCTCACTAGTACTACCGCTACAACATTACCTTCTACTGCCACTACACTTAAGTGATTACTAGAGCTAGTAGAGTGGTCAACACTTCCCTGTGCTGAGGAATAACACTGTCTCATACCTGCTAAACTTTGTAGATTTAAACCTCTAGTCCATTAGTTCAACCACAATTCCACACTTCACTATGTGCGAAGCAAGATGTGCAGCATGATGCTTTAGGAATTTCCTTTTCTTAACTCCAGGCTTTTTCACAGAAATTAATATTTGACCTTTACTAATAGAAAATAAAATAACATTAATTTATATCTACTGTAATCCTTCTGCAGATAATCATCTAGACTTTACTTTTGCATATACTGTATATTCTATATGTCAATTTACGTTTTGTTGAACACCACTCAGAACTACCACAATATGATGTTTACTGTTTTGCGTTGTACAAAATATCATTGGAAGGAAACTCAGAGATTACTGAAAGAAGTCTCAGCATTGTCAATTATGGTTTTTATCAATTTAAGTCTTTCCTTAATTAGAAGACTTATAATTGTTCTTAAATCTGATAGTAGTATGATAGTGGCTGTATTAGTAATAGTCTGACTCCTGTATATTGTTTGATATCAAATCTGTAATTTAGTTTAATAGCATAGTGAGCAAAATAGTGAAAATGATTAAATATATACAGTAAACAGTAAATCTTGCATATGTACAGTATACAAGCTTTTCTTGGTGTCCAACAGCAAACAATGCAAGATCACAGGGAACAGTGGTTATTATTTAGTTTTGCTTGAAAAATAATTTTATTTCTTTTAAATGGTAATGCTATCTCCAGTTTTAGTCTTTGCCATGTTAAATTGAAAGCTTTGTTTTGTCATCTTGTCAGTGCTATGTTTTACAGTAAACAGTCTACTCTCTGTACTGTGTGCATTAAAGGTCTTTCAGCATCAGCAAAGGCTTGGTTGGTTTATTTACTTTAAACATCTTGGAATGATAATTCAGAATTTTATTAATGAAGCCCAAGCAATTGAAATGTTTGCCTAATCAAGCTAAATCTTAAAAGAAGATTAACTGTCGATAAAGCTCTCCAAAGCTTTCTCACACTGAAGACGTCTGCTTGACATCTTCATTTAAGCTACAAACATTTTCATTTTAATCACATTTACTGTACAGTATATTGTGGTGATTAGCACTGACCAAAAGCAAAAGAGTGCAATTTTAAGAGTGTAAAATGAGTGTTTAGATATCTTTGCAGGCCTTACCTTTATATATACATAGTATATACAGCATATATACTGTATGTCAATTAGTAGAATTTCTCAACTCATTAAACTGTATGTATTGAATTATACTGTTATGGAAGCCAGTACTGACACCTGTGATGTGCGTTATTAAAGACCCTATGCAGACAGGATAATCCTGAAGTAGGTGGAAAAGGACAATGTGGAGGACACAAGGATCAGGGCAGGTTGAAAACAGGGTGTGTGGCCATGGAAGACAATTCCAGAGTCTAAGGGAAAGTCCAGGATGAAGTCCAATTGTCCAGAACCAGGTGATCCATCCAAGACAAGTCAAAGTTAAAAACCGGAATGAGATCCGGTGCAGGGAGAGGGAATAAAAATGGGATGACGGGGCCAGGCGCTCTGAGCCCCGGACTCAGCTGGGTCAGGATGCCAATAGGAGGCTTATGCCCTCAAGCCGCGGATGTAGGGCAACTTGATGGTAGGCGGGTCTCCGGGCGTCCATCTTCCAATGCAGAGCCAGGAGTAGCGAGAGCGCCTAACTTAAATAAGGAGGGGCAGGATTGGAAACAGGTGCACATGATCAACTGAAATGTGAAAGAGCCAGAGCGCCCTTAAGAGGAGGGATTACAATCGTGCCGTATACACAGTCTTAGTCATGGACATTTCACATTTCTAATTTTTTTTTATTAGAGCTGAGTTGTTGCTTGTTATTCGGTAAAGTTGATCAAGCCAGTCATTTAATTTAGGATATCATAATAACATCATACTTCATACATCATAAGACAAAGACACTGTTTACCATATGCCTCTTTAACCACTTTAGATTTCAGTTTTCTCCTCTTAACAGGGAGTCTCATACAAAGATGTCAGTTCAGTAGGTGACACTAGAGAGCTAGCAGTGCATAGCAGTGCATACAAAACTTGAGAATTAAATAGCAATCAGAAAGTGCAATAGTGCCGTTAATGCATAATTCTGTTAATGCATAGTGCCGTTAATGCATAAAGTCACACTTTTGTGGTAGTAATGTTCCAGGGAAAGGTCATTAAAGCATGTATACAATATATCTATGCTGGATTTGATTTTCTTAAATTGGTATCCATTGAATTTGTATTTAAAAAACTTCTGTGAGAAATATTAGAATTATAGAATAATTCTCTGGAATTTTCCAAAAATAACATTCAGGATATACTTTCCATAGTATCCTACAGTAGCACTGTTATCAAATAACCATTCCTAATTAAGGCAGAAATGAGTTCTATAATATAGAAAGTTCTTCGGAAGCAAGATAATTCCATTTTACAGATGTCACTACTTCGGCATTCTGAATTTAATCATCTGTTTTTAATTCTATATGGTACTGAAATGCACAAGAAGCGTGGAAAAATAGATTTACTATGGATTACACATTTTTAGTCATTCTAACTTTAAATTATATACAATGTAGGGTACTATTTTTTACGTTTTAAACAGTGTTATTTTTGAATATTTAAATTAAAATATTTTAAATGCAGTACTTAGCCATTTACAAATCCCACAAATTCTTATCAGAACAATTTAAGAAAAAATTGACAGGCTGTGAGTACATAACCAAACCAGTAGCCAGTGGGGAAAATTGTGTTTGCCTTGAAGTGTGAAACAGGTTCAGTCTTGTCAGCATAAAATAGTGTGGTCTGCAAATCCTGGATCTTTGCATTGTGCAAATGTTCCCTTTCAGATATAAATGTTGGAAGATTATATTGTCTTTAAAATAAACTAAAAATATACAGATAGATATCATTGTTTTAAGCAAATGAAATCAAATACTAAGAAAACAAACATTACGTACAAAATCCATGTTAATATCAGAAACTTTCTTTTTACTTTGTGCTTCTTTAAATTGTAGAAAAAGCATACATTTAGCTGAAATAATCTGAAAAGGGACGGACCTTCATAAAGTCAACATCAAGAGAAAGTCAACATAAATGCACTTGTTAGTCATTTTTATTTTTACTTTCACTACTGCTCTTCCAATTTGCTGCTTTATGTAGATTCTTTTTCACTTTTTATGTCACTTAAAGACAATGGTGTTCCCATTCAAAAATGAATTAACTGTAGTTTCTAAGGCCATATGATAGATTAGTATTTAAACTGTTAAGAAAAATCGAACAAACAGGGAGGGCTCTCTCAATAACATTGCAGCTGGTGCAGCTGGTGAAAAGACAATAACCTGATATTAAGGACTGAAATTAAAGTGAATGCATTGGGGTTTGTGCAAGATCTTCTCTCTCCTGGTTTCTACAGTAATCTCAGACCACAGGACTCTGAAGAGGTGTATACTGTAGGACAGTTACTTACAATAGAGAACACAGTGCACATTCCTATTATAACCCCCCATTTAGTGCATTAAATGAAAACATATAGAATAAGAACATATGGTAAATGCTCAAATGATTTAATTTTTATAAAAATGTTAGCAGACAGAAAAAAATAAAAAGCTAGATAAACCTTTTAGATAAACCTTTTTTCTCTAATAATGGGTGGTATACCATATTATTTTACAAAATGTACATGCATTAAATATTTGCATGCAAAGATATAATATAAGGAAAAAAATAAAACAAAAGGTACTGCAAACTAGATATGGCACTATAAGTCTTGTCTTTGTATCCCTGAGGAATGTTTTTTTTCTTATCTTCACATACTGCCTTTACCTGCTGTGGTCAATATAATCACATACTGTACCGTACCTGGTGGTTTCACATTGCACAACAACATGACCACATAGGGCCACATAGAACAGAAGGAAAAATAAAGCTAGTGAACTATAATGGTTCTTTCATTTCAACATAGAGATAATGATCTTGGAGAAGAAGCAGGCATGTTCTCTGTTTATGTTTAGCTTGCTGCTTTAAGTAGCACTTCCACAACATTTACAAGGAGACCAATTCTAAACAGTCAGAAGTTGAAGCCTTCTGATATGAGCAAGTAATTCTCTCCCTGTTTGTTTTGATACTTCAAACAAAGATGTTAATTTGTTAATTGGTGCTTTTCCTCCTTTTGAGCAGTTATGGCTGTTGTCAGCCCTCTGCAATCTGTTTTTTGTCTTTATTGTCCAGCTGCTGGCTCAGTAACAGTATTCTATCTCTGTTCTTTTGGTCTGCTACTCTCTTATGTCCTCCTGTTTAACACTTTAACACTCTTTATGCTGTTGTAACTTCATATTGATCCTGAAATCCTGCTTCACTCTTGACTGACCTCTTTGGCAGAGTAATATGACCTCTTCTCAGTTTTAAATACACTCTATATACAGTAGTTATCACATGCAGTTTTTGGTTTGTTTCACTGTTTCGCCTTGTGGAAACAGCCTTAAAAGAGATCCAAATAAGAGATCAAATGAGACATATTTACAACAAATTCCATAAAAGTGTCTCTAACATTCTGTTCTTGAAATGTATAAAAGTAGTGTTTGGAGATTTATGTTTTTTTATATTAACATACCTGATGGGTAAGACACTGGTTTTGAAATTCAACACCACAGACTTCTTTATGGCTCCAATTAAATTTACACCTTGGGACTATTGGTAAGTGAAGTATGTTGGCTTTGTCATCTTTACAAACATTTGTAACATCACACATGTGAGCAATTTCTGTAAATAGTTGCTGGATCACACTAATTGCCTGCAGCATTAACAAGTAGCCACTGGAACACATGGTTTCTGTTGATTAGGTGTAGAATGTCAGAACTGCTTTTATTATTAAATTTAATGTTGAGTTAAAGGCAGACCAGAAGATGGATGAGAACTCATTAGAGCCTCAGTATTAAATTAATAACACACACAAATTATTCATACCTTTATTTTTTGATCGTTACAAGAAGTAGAGAGGATTTCAGAAAAATATATTTCAATTAGAAAGTCTTGAGACATCAAATAATTTTGCTGCAGTGTACTAGAAAGTCAGGAAATGTACTGTATATTTCCTTGGTGCCAAAAATATAACCCAGAGCTTTGTGAGTACTTATTGTTATTGATATTACAAATAAGAGGAGGCTTGCATAACCAAAATATAATACAAATATTTTTATAATAACTTTAAGAAATTTCACAATACAACCTGTATAAATACTTTTTATAATGTATTATTATGTATAATACCCTAAATATAACTTACATTTATTTCCACAGATGTTGGTATTTTACTATCATACAATTGACACATTTTATTATTTTATTTCAATAGCAGTAATTCAAGTGTCTCTCTGGGTCATTTGCCACTAAGGCATGCATAATAACTGATTAATTAAATATCTAATCTAACCATTATTCAATTATTGGGCAGGCTGAACTTTGCAAAATAGCACAAGTGATTTCTATATGTACTTAAGCAGACTAGCAATACATACTGTAATAATGAAAGAATGCATGATTCAAGTCCATTGGAATCCTTTATTTTATGATCTATACTTAACATACATTCATTTATTCATGATATAATGGGGTTTAAAACAATCTTAGTTGGCTGCAGGCAGATGAAGATGTTTTGAAGTGTGTGTGGGGGGGTAAAGGTGTTTTAGTGATTTAAGGCAAGCACACATCAAGAAACTGAACTGGTGCACTGAAAACTCACAGTTGCACGAACACTGCTCAACATGTTTTTGTTATATTTATTAGAACTATTGATTTTCTATCAGTCAGTGAAGAAGATGAAAGTCTACATTTGTTTTCTGATTGTTTTAGACAGCAAAGCCTTTGTTGTAGTAAGTATTATTATTACTATTATTATTCAAATATATTTTTAGCTTTTGATATGGTAACATTGGTAGGTTTAATTATATTTCAAATGTCATTAAACCACGATTTATACAAAACTTTAAATATGGATAACATATACCATTGTACCTAAATGTTCTTAAATTTGTCTTATACAGTAGTTATGTTATTGCTTTGGAACCAATTGGAGATTTGATCATCTAATGCCTGTGTTTCTTTCTTCAGTAATAATGAAAAATATGAACATTCTTTGGTTTTTGAAATGTATTAGGAGGCACCATATCAAGCTGAGTTTTCCACTAGTTTGAAACATCCTAAACAACAAACTTTTGAGAAGGGTCTATCATACTTCTACTCTCTCATTCATTAAAGGGACAGAGCTATGTAAGTTTTATTTAGCATGAAACCATACCTAACATATCACTTTTTTACTGTACATGAATAGAAATGTACTATAGGCTTATAAAAGATTTGCTATGTGAAAAACTCTGTGTACTTACATGAGCACAACACTGTCTTATACGTTTTATGAGGTGTTAATGAATCATGTGAGCTAGTAAACATAGAAACCAGCTGTGTGTTTATGGAGTGCATTTATACAGTACACTTATTTATAATTGTTGATAATCTGACAGTTCTGAGTTGATAAGGACTAATGAGTTCAAAAGGATCATACTTAGGGCTAATTTGTTCATTTAAGCTGTTATCTTTCAGAATAAATTCATACTCACAACCTATGTTTGAGAACTAAAGTGAAGCAAAGTCCTCTGCTGTTGGTAAATTTCATTTTGGTTTTCCTTTATAATTAACATTTTTTCTTTGTCCCTTCAACACAGCCCACAGAAAAAAGGATGCCACTCTCCTCTAAACTGCACATGTCTCCTGGAGGTTTCTTCAACGCGTCCTCATTGAACGAGCCTCAGTCCCAAAAAGAAACAATACTCTTCCCACTCCAAAGAACAATACCTGTGGTACCCAGATTTTCAGGCACATACCGGAGACACTCTACAGTGTTTGTCATGGGACCTCAAATGAGCAAGAATTCACCTGTTTCTATTCCTCTACGAGGTCCATCTCTGGCTCTGCCGCCAGCAGGCCCTGCACATCTTTACAGACCACAAGTTTATGTATTCCGACCACCTGCACCCGCACCCTTACCACCTGTTGAGAACAGAGGTTCTCAGCTGGATGCCCGTTCTACCGCGCCAGACCCGGCACAACCGTGTAGCACTCGAGTCGCTGTGAGATCGCCTCCATTGGCGCCTCAGGCCCAAAGGCCAGTGTCTCCGCTCTTCGTTTTCCTGCGCCGCACTGTTCCCGCTGTGGCGCCTCCTCCGGTGTCGCGTTCAGGTCCACGCTTTGTGTTTGCAACAGGCCGCGCAGCCATTCCTGGTGTATTGTTTGTGCCTGGTCAGAAGACCCTGTCAGCACACTTAACATCTCCAAGACTTCCGCCAGGCCCACAGCCCAGTCTTACAATACGTCAGCCCCAGCCACCATCTCCACCTCTTCCCCCTGCAATAATTCCAACCTCAATGCCCAGGATCCCATCCCTCCCAAGCATTGTAAATCTGCAAGGTCGAATTATTGTCATACCATATGTCTTTGCTCCTCATAATCGTTTACACAAGCAAAAGCTTATGGCTCACCCTAGCCTCACAACGGGTTCCCCAACTACAAGCTCTGCTGTATCCACTGTTGGTAAAACAAGCGCTCTTGCCACAACTGTAGCTACCACCACCAAAGGATACACGACTACAGTCGACACAACAACAGCTAGTACAACTATAACAACTGTATCTGTTGATAAAACAACTTTAGCTGAAACCACTATATCTGAAAAAAACATATCTGGCACCACTTTAGCTGCCACTACAACAGCAACTACAGCTGAAACAACAGTAGCTGAGACAACTGTGGCCGAAATGACAGTAGCAGAGACAACTGTGGCCGAGATGACAGTAGCTGAAACAGCGGCAGCAGATGTAACACTTATTACTGCTGCTATTCTAGATGACACAACTACAGCTGAAACAACAGTAGCTGAGACGACTGTCGCCGAGATGACAGTACCAGAGACGACTGTGGCCGAGATGACAGTAGCTGGAACAGCTGCGGCAGATATAACACTTATTACTGCTGCTATTTTAGACGACACAACTACAGCTGAAACAACAGTAGCTGAGACGACTGTGGCCGAGACAACTACAGCTGAAACAACAATAGCAGAGACGACTGTGGCCGAGACAACAATAGCCGAGACTACGGTGGCCGAGACAACTGCAGCAGAGACAACAGTAGCTGAGACGACAGTGGCCGAGACAACTACAGCCAAGACAACGGTGGCCGAGACAACTACAGCTGAGACAACAGTAGCTGAGACGACGGTGGCCGAGACAACTACAGCTGAGACTGTGGCTGAGACCACTACGGCTAAAAAAACAGTATAATATGTTAGATAGTATTTCCCTCTTCTGGAAATAAGTGACAATACAAAGAATTGCAATTTATTCATGGTTAAGGTAAAAATATGTGGTGCCATTCTAAAAGGCGATTCTTTTAAAATATCCTGTTGTTTGTCATTTATTCACTAATTGTGCTTTTAACAACTCTTGTCGAGACTTTTGGACTTAAAAAGTTATCTCACTGATCCCTCTTGTGACCAATCTTGGTAATGTACACAAATTGAGCTGGAGAAACTTTATTCTAAACTAGGTTAATTTAGGGTCTGCTAGAATGCCATATTTTCATTGCAATCTTTTTGTTAAAAGGATACATACAGTACTCAATATAAATAAAACCGACCCACAAATCTACTGTATTTCTGTTTAAAAAATAAAGCCATGACTAGAGGAAAACTAGTCACTGCCAAAATTGCTGCATATTAATAACTTAGCCATATGTGACATGAGAAAACGATGAGTTTTGAAACAACTAAATACAAAAGGCAGAATGTTGTTGTTTAGATGTAGAATAGTATGTTTTACGATGAAAAGGTTTTATCTGTCACGTGTATAAGCAATGGCACTTTTCTGTTTTGTTTTACCTTGTAAAGAAGCATATAAAGATTCTCTTAATCCCAATGTAACACGGTCAGTCATTGTTAGCAAATGTTTTACCAGGCTAAAGAATAATTCAACACTGAGCATATACGTTTACAGTCTTAAAAATGTACTATTATAAGTGCTACCTGAGTTTGTCTTCCAGAAATCCAACTACATTTACTGTAGTTGACATCTTTATCTTGTATTTTATATTAACTTCCTGTCATCAATGTTTTACAAACCATGTGCTCTGGCAATTTTCCCTCCAATTTTGTTTTATACATTTAATCATTAAAAGTTTAATAGTAATTCATTTTTGGGATACTAGGCCATAAACATCACCACATGCCTCACCAGTAACACATGGAAACCTAATCAAATCCATCATTAACATTAGTTAAAAAAAACTTGCTAATTGTAGTTGTGTGAACACTCAGGTGACATTACAAAATATTAATGCTTCAGTAATCTAGAATTGATGTGTTGTTCTTATATACTTTGTAGAAAACTTTTCAGAAAAACAATGCTTTTAATTTTAATATAACACAGAGGCATACTAACAGTGCAAAAGATGTGTAAATAACAGGACAAAGCTGAAGAAGGGCTTATTTTTAATGTATTTTCAAACAGCAGAAACTAATGGAAACACAGCAACGTATTTCACAGGAGCAATGCACCATTCATTCACATTTTTGTCTTCATAAATTAATGAAGCAGAATAACTGCCTAATTAATCTAAGTTACTAATCCTATTTTAATAAGCATAAAAATAAGGCCTTAACAATGATGTACAGTATAATACTGGAAAAAGCCAAACTAGGTTTTCTACACAATATACATTTCATAAATAAGAAACCAAGGGTGTCAATTATTTAATGGAAGGTCAACATTGTGTGCTGATCTAGAAGTATGACTTTCTCACATAGGCTTGATCTGCTGCAGTTTAAGAACAATAATATCTCCATTTAAAACCTGCATTTGGACAATATACCAAGTTGAACAATTAAGTAAACCTGAGATTTGATGAGTTTAGGAATTAAGAGCAGAAAACATGACATTAATAAAAAAAAATTACAGTTAAAACACGTGGAATCTCATGTTTTATAAGATTTAAATGCATTACAAGAAACGGCGGCTGACAAGAAGTAATGGAAAATGTGTCTAAACAGTTGATGCATTAGGGAAATCTTCTAATCTAAGTGCCTTTCAATACAGTATAATGATTACACTATTTTTCTATTTTTACCACTTTTATTTTTACTTTTATGTATTTTAGAGACCAAATGACTGGATTTGTCTTGAAACTGCTTTAAGGAGTTACATCACAAAATGCTAAAACAGGTATTATCACTTTTGCATAGTGTCTGCCTTCAGTTGTTTCATCAAGACAGACTGGGTGGCCAATTTTCAATGCAAAATATTTTTTTTCTCAGGGCTGAACTAACACCACAGGACTTGTTCTACATTGTGACGTGATTTGAAGCACATCAGGAGTACAAAAGGGCATTCTGCTGAACAACTGGAAAAATGCATTCCAGAAAACATGCATTTCTGGTTTCCTGTCCCAACATGTATTTGCTCGAAGAGAACAAAAGCAACTTCTAACGAGCTGGAGAAAGAAAAATATTTCAGAGTATCGCATAGTAGAATATCCAGGTTTTCCAATATAACTGGTTCTGTACTCTCACTGCACAGGTCATTCAATGCAATGCTAACTGCATAAATCGACTTATTAGACTACTTGAATAAGTATAGGAACATCATACTAAAACAAATGGTAAATTAAAGTTTATAGTACCAGCCAAATAAATATTCTTGTACAAATCAGGGCTTAACCAAATTGATTGTGCACACTGCAGACCAAATTCAAACACGTTCAATGAACATGATTAAAATAATCAATGAATGAATCTCTACAAGATTATGAACACTTTTCCAAATTAGGCTAGCTGTGGGATTGTGGGACTGTGGGATTTTGCTAGCTTCTAGGCAGCAATACAGTGGGTCCATCACTGTGTGTCCTCCTGAGGCATGAGCCCTCCATCCTGCGCCGTGTTGTAGGATCCACACCCACTGCACTTCATTCCCAGCACATGAAAAGGCACTGTGCAGCGAGTCTGGCAGTCATTACACAATATCTAAAGGAAAAAAAAAAGAGGTCAAGTGAACTTCTGCCAATACTATAGCAGAAGACCTGAAATTAATTACTGAATTAAGAGAGTGCAGTTAGAGAGCCATAAAACTATGGCTAAATCATATACATGCAATGTCCCACTCAATCATATACTGTAGTCGCATGTAACTCATACACCAGGGATACAATTCCAAAAGTTACATACAGCATCTCCATGATTAAGATCACTTAACATCTTTTATCTTTTATCTCGCAATAGAACAATGTGAGTGCATGCAACTAGATAAAGAGTATTTAGTAAAGAGACGCACTACACAGAACTTTTTTATTTTAAAAGGTAATCTAAGGTAATGGTGATAAATGGTGTCAATATATTTGAATGGCACAAGTCCCTACCTGAGCAGCTGGTGTGCAATTCACAATGTGACAATGGCCGAATTGGTTCCAATGCTTGTATTTTAGCAAAAAATATTGTACAGTCAAATGCCCATAGAAGACACGGTGGTGTTAATTTTATTCTCTTACAATTTGAGGCTGCCTGAAAATATCAACCTCATATTCAAAAAGGTCTCAAAGCTTTAATCATCCACTTATTAAAAAAGTCACAAATACTATTGTAAAAAATAGCAATGACAATCCACATTTAAGTCATTTGTAACAGCACCCACTGAAGAAACTTGTTATGCATCTGTACAGTATATGGGTCCCAGACATTTTACAATGTTCTCAGTCTCAATGTCCTGAAGTTATACCCGTATGTCACAATGTTCTCTCAGCGGGGTAGGTATCAGCTGCTCTCAATACAAGTTCTTCCTTATTTTCTCAAGTCTCATCTTTTGTTGTCCCTACCTATGCCATTGGATCCTTTTACATCAACCAGCTCAAGTGTGTTGCTATTGTACAACAGGATTTAGGAAGCAAAACATTCCCGCACAAGGCAGAAACAGTAAATTCTGCCTGACACAGCTGAAATACTTCACACAATGTAAACAGAACCTATGCTATTGCCTTAAAAACATGACAAAAGACAAATGCTATTATAAATGGCATGGTATATATTTAACAGGACAACAAGGTTTAGACCAAAAAAATGATTTTGGAGATAAATATGGACTAATTTACTCGTCTGGTTACTGTTTTCTGACACTCCTCACTAAATGAAAAACGTTAACTGAGGATTTATTCACACTAAGACACAAACACTATGATTACCCTTTAAAGCTAAAGATTTTTATTTTTGTAATTTATTTTTCAATGTCAAACGAGCTCTAGACAGTTTCTGGAGAATTAAAAAAACACCAGCTTGGCTGTTTACTTTTAATATTACCTTTACAGTGACATTCCGATATTCAGTTGGCATTGGAGTCTGCGAGATTTCTTTGTCCAGTTCATCCCAATAGTCTTCCATATTCCAGGCAGAATGCATGCACAGTGGGCACCTGTATGCACTGAGTTAAATTTACTTTGTTAGAAAATTGATTTTAGTTTTTAATGAGGATCGGAACCTTTTAGAGAAAGGAAAGAGTGAGAAGCTGTTACTAAACCAATATTACATAGAACATTACATTCACCAAAAGGATTAGAAAGGGTATAAAGGATAATGCATGCTGTTAAATCACGTTGCGTAGTGTTATGCATGAATTTGTGCTCATTTTGTAGCCTAAGTAAAGTGATGCATTACTGCTACATCAACTAGGTACAGTGTGTGTTTTACCAAGTGCAAGTCTTGGTTTCTCACATCACTAACTTAAGTAAAGGTTTACAGAGCAAAGAAAATGAAGTATTGCATACTATAGAAGCAAAACATGCAAGGAGCAGAACAAAAGAAAGCAACTACAAAAACAAAAGGAAATCTGTTTATTAAGTTTACAAAGCAAATCAGAAAAGCCAACAATCCTTAAAATCTGCTAACTTACCCTGTTTTAGACATGTCTTCGAAACAGGTTCTGGAAAAGAGAACAAATGCAGTTGCCACATTACGTAGTGAACAAGTGAAGTTGGTATCTGGCATCTTAACTTGAAGTGCCACCACAAACTATAGCATTACAAAGCAGTTCACAAGTTCTGATGCAGGGTATATATTCAAAACCTGGGAAATCCCTTCACAACAACATGTACCAAAATCAAAAGCACTTAAAAGTCCAATGCGATAGATGCTTACTATCCTTACAGAAATTAAAACTACTTCATATTATTTCAAAGCTGCCCTTGTGATCCAAGGTTACTGGGTCATAGATGGATTATCAAACAGTTCAGACATGAAGCCATGATACCTGAAGCTCAGACTGGACTCCAAGTGTCACTGATGCTCGAACTAACCAGGAGTCAGTTTTTAACTGAGGGACTGGAGCTTACTTGTGAAGAAGGTGACCGCACGGCAAAACATGTGCGCCAATCCTCGACGTATGAATATCCTAAGGAATAAAAGGAGGTGGGACTCAGACATTTATATCTGTTTTGACAGAAAATAACTTATAAAGGGTTCATTTAAAGGGGAACTGCAAAACACATTTTTTGTATTCCGGGGTTAGAAAGATTTAGAATTGATGAGTGCGCTTCAACCTCCAATAAAAGTTAGAAGCACACAATAACTTGTACAGCCTCCAATTTACATAACAACATAGAAAAAATGTCCAGGTATTTGCAGCACCATATTCTGCAATTCAGAAAACAAAACTTCCAGTGACGCATGCAGCCCTATGACATTATAAACAAGCAGGCTTGTGAATACACTGCCTTTAATACAACAGACATATTGCTTTTGATTTCCAGACAGTTTTGCCGTCAGATACCACTTACTTGTTAACTCTGCATGCAAATGAAACTGCAACATTTCTGCAGTTAAAATATACAAGTGAATAAATACAGGTTGTGCTGCAGACATCACATTACATTAGTCGATACAGTGACTAGTGAGCAAGAAGGGCCACATCATGTCGCAATTCATGGGAACTCGAGTTTGCGAAAACATGGCGACTTACAGTGCTTTCACAAAGTCCATGGTTTTGTGCTTAATTCAAAATGTGTTAATTGTTCCTATAACATCAATGAATTTATTTTTTACAGAGATTTAATAACTGGTCTTAGAAAATGGGACTGTAGTTCCCCTTTAAACGCGTTTCCATAGTTAGACATACGTAACATGTACCGAAAATTAGATTTTTTACAGATTTAAGATCTAAGTATAAATTGACCACTGAGCAATTGACCAATGAAACTGAAGTGACAATCTAGATTTTAAAAAAATCAAACCTTAAGTTATCAAGCATACTATGTAGGTGTTAATTATATGCAGTGTCTCTGAAACACTATTACTCGGGATTAGTGTGCTGCATTACTCGATTTGTTTTAAAAAAAGCACACTTACATTTGTTTTGTCTCCAAGTGCCAAATGGGTGCTTTAAGAATACTGTATATACCTGAGGGATTTTTTTTCTTCCTTACTCATACGACTCATGACATGTGAACTCAATTTAAAAATGAGTAAATATATTCCAAAGAACAAGAGGCCTAGGGACAGACTTGGGTGCATGAATATTAAATATATGCATGATATAGTACAGTTCCTTTAACATGAGCTCAATATTACAAGCACTCCATGCCTATCACAATGAATAATTCTGTTACTTGAAAGTGCATCCAATATTTTTTTTTTAACACAGAAATAGAAATGGTAAATGGCACTGCTGTCCCTGCCTTTAACGCTGTAAGGTTGTCTTTCCATCTGTGGACGACACCCAGACAGCTACCGATTAACTTTGCAGGGTTTTAGGATTAATTCCTTTAATTTGATATAAATCTGATAAAAAATGTGTAAGCAAGATTTTTTTTAATATTAAAAATGTGAACACTTATTAAAACTTAAATTGTGATTTATAGGCTTACCTCCATACAAACAGGGCAGTTTTGTCTTGATACATTTTCGACACACTGAAAAAAGCAAATAAGTATGAAATAAGAAAATCAAAGCTGCAAATAAGCATAGCAAAACCACTCAGGAGTCTCTTGCTGCTCTCCATACAATTAATAGTTCAATTTAAAAAAACAACAACAAGGAAACATTTCTGCAACTCAAAGTTGCATAAGTTTGTTAAACTCAAAGTGTGTGGTTATTGGTCAGGCAGTAGTCAAGCTGTGATGCCCTTAAATAACTGAAGCTATTAACTTAAACCTTCAACTTAAAACACATCACTGTCAAGAAAATGAAAACAAATTAGATATTGCTACAAAACAAAAAAAGTGTGCATAAGATACCTTATGATTTCCTTGCAGGTCGCTGATTAAACACAGATTACATTTCAGGCAGTGAAAATACTTTTCTCTGGGACCAATTCTAAAAAAGAAAAACATCATATAACCATTTTGACATACTGTAAAATAATCAATGAAAGAATACTACAACGTATTTTAAAAAAACACCTAAACATAACCTAAGTGAAACACATATTAATGCCGAAAGTGGGACATTAAAGTGGTGAGCTTTATCATAGAGATTATTTTGTGCAATTTGAAAAAAGATTAAACCAAATAAAAATTTAACTGGATCTTAACTTTGCTATGCCATTTACAGATAGGTCAAGAAGGCAAGTTTTGCTTAAAATGAGTCACCTCTTCTAAGTAAAATGTTTACATATTTAGAAAGGAAAATAAATAAGGTCACATGTCTAGCTAAGGAAGTGCACAAGTCAGAACAAGTGAGTGAAATTGTTTTGCAGACACACTTGTGTAGACATGAAATGTGATCCAACCAGTACACGCAGGCACCTATGACCATATCACACCCTTAACAATTATCACTAAAGAAAGTATACCTCCCACCCAACCAATTTACCCGTGTTGATGGTCAGCAAAAGTCCAGATACAAACACTAATGTCAATCTTATCAATCATGTGTAACATGGTTAAAAATTCCCAATATTTATTTCTTGATTTAATTTGCACTAAATATTTGTAGTAATTTGCTTTAATATGCATGCTCTTTGATGTAATGACTTCTAATGGTGAGGTTGCTTTTTAAAAAAGATCTTGATGAGGGAAGAACTTGAACCTGTCCAAGGGAAGGGAAGATATGCATTGAGGCACTAAAGACGTTCAAGATCGTCAGGTGCTGTTCAGAAAGCTTCTCTACTAGTTCTTAGAGGGAGTGTAAGAGTTAGTGTAATACCAGGTCTATTTTAAAGGCACTAAACACAACAAATGCAATAATTCACAATGATGTGCAATATGTGGTCATAAAAAAAGTCTTCTCTTTCATCCAACCAGATGTTTTGTGACTGTGGGCCTGTGTGTGCTTTTTTTTGGATAGCTGGATAATATATAACTGTTGGTGATCTTGGAATTAACCACAATCAGACAACCGTCTTCAGCTGTAAAAATCTATAGTACCAGAGAGATATTATACTAATTAAATAACCATTTTGCATTTACACTTGTTGCAAAATAATTTATCAGCAAGATGATGTGATGGCCTTTTGTTACACTCCTGCAGTTATTGCTTTTGCATTTATAGCATTACACGTGAAAAAGCTTTTGATACAACCGGCTCTTGGGTGTCCTTCCATTATTTGTTCCACTTGCATTAGAAAGAACCTGTGCTTGAGGGTTTCTTTGAAAGAGTACTTAAAACTATTAAAAGTTTTTGTGCAGTACAACTTTGTAGATCTTAAATGAGACTTATAAATCCTTAACAGGGTCTGATCCTACTTTTCCCTTTATTAATCAAAATCTTCCTGATACACATTGTATATCCTTGTAGTTGGGGTAAGGTGATTTACATTGTGACATTTTACTCCCACATTGTGTTAAGCCATTTTCAATTCACTCCTGCCCTGAACAAATATGGTGTTACAACTCCCCCCAAAATCAGGCCAAAAATTGATAAAGGGCAAAAACAAAAACTTTCATTACTTAACCTGCACAGGTAACTACTCTTTACCAAGAAAGATGTGTGCGGAACAAAGATACAGTATAACCGAGAGACATAAATGAGTTTTTGCATTAAAGGGGCACTGACAATTAAAAGGTAAAGTGTAAACAAACAAGTCAGAAACTAGTCACAGGTGACCAATAAGTGGAAATATACAGACTAATGCACCTTTGAACAGTGGTATTTGTTCTCTAAGATGAGGCAATTAAACAAAGATGTTTGTCTGGCTTGAATATTAATACCACTCATTTCTTAGTGATTCAACAGTAACTTAAAACACCAAGTCAATCTCTGTGTGATGCTGAGCTCAAAATTACTTTTTACTTTAATACTGCTTTAATGACAATATTAAAAATGGAGTTAAACCTTTAAGAACAAAATGGGTCTTTTCTGGGCTCTTTTTCATGTCTTGCAAAAAAGCAAAATGAAAAACAATTCAGACTACCATTGGTACATACTTGTACAAAAACTGAGAATTTGTTCCTACCTACATATTCCACATTGTTCACAATGATACTGTTTCTTGTCTTTATCAAACAAGTGGCACGTGTCACAGTAATAATCACCAAATTTCACTCTGCACTCTTCACATGTCTGCTGAGCCTAAGACAAAGAAAATTAAAAAATCATATTTTTGTTAAAATATGACCGCATAATCAACCACAGAATCTTTAATGCAACTAGCTTAACCCGTATGACAAATCACATGCTGCATATGCATATACTGTAAGAATGTATTAATTGCAATGAGAAGAAGAATGTGATAAAACTTTGTGAAATCAGCTAGAATAACAACAAACTATGAAATGAAGCAATCAATGCTAGCAAAATTCTGGACTTGTCCTGCAAACAACACAAAACAGAACATTTCCAGGTATGCGCAATGCCATATTCTGGGATTCAGAACGAGGCAACAAATCCCTGGAGATGTGAAGTGGCCCTATTACATTGTAATAAGCAGCTTGTAAATACATTTATTTAATCCAATAGAAATATTGCTCTTGACTTCAAGACAGTTTTGCCAACAAATGGAACTTACTTGTTAACTCTGCACACAGATCACATTGGAAACTGTCTACAGTGAAATATCTACTGCACAACCTGTATTTAGTCGCGCATACATTGCATCACATTAATTATGACAGTGACTAGCGAGCTGGAAGGGCCATATCACGTCACAATTCGTAGGAACTCTCACTCTCGCCCCATGGTGAGACCAGGGGTTTATGGCAACATGGCGACTTGCAGTACTCTCAAAAAGTTCACAAAGATTTTGGGAATAATTTAAAATTTGTCAATTTTTTTCTATACTGTCAATGAATTTATTTTGTTACCAAGATTTAATAACCGGTCTGAGAAATTGGGACTGCAGTTCCCTTTTAACAGGTTACTACTTCATGATAGGTCGAGGACATAAAACCAACTCAACCTCAGAAAGTGAGTGTGGATGAGTATAAGCCTTTAAGCAGCTGAGCCAGACCTCTATAACCCTGCATTTGTGAAAGGAGAACTCGATCATTGCAAGTCACATTAATCAAGTCTCCTCTAAAAGCAACAAACAAAACAAAACCACCACTTAGTTGTCCCAAGGCACAGGAAGGAATTCATTGACTGTAAAACTGTAAACATTCCTAACTGGAGCTTGAAAACCAAGACTTTACCTTTTGGATTGTGTTGCACACAGAGCATTTGACATCTTTCACCTGAAAGCGATCCATCTGATGGTTCTCTTTTGCGTCATGGCACAGACGGCACACATAAAATTTACCGCAGCATGGAGCCTGAGTGGAGAGACACCAGATTTTCAATGACAAGCTTACCATGATTGCAACATCTTGTAGAGGACTTCAACACCACATTACAGAGTATGGAAAAAACTCTAGTTGCAAGAATTGTGATGGTGACAGCACATTTTTGTTGCGTTTCACAATTTTCAAGCACAGCAGAGTGACAAAAGCGAATGTGGAAATAAGCTTAATAGGAACAAGAAACACACCATGGACACATTGTATTAGGCACGGCAGCTTTGTCCACTGAAACAAGATTGAAAACAACTTACACTATGGTGAGAGACAAGTCTGAACTGGGGTATTGAAAACTATAATTAAACTAACATTATATACAATCATGGTGCAGTACATACCTAATCTACCAACTAAAAGGTCCAGACAAAATCACAATTTTAATGTTTCCCATAGGACCATGCTTCTTATATGTGTAACTCCAGCCATTCAGCATTCTCCACAGCTACAGGTCCACTCCCTTCTTCTGTTTTGTGTTGTGCCTACATGATCTTTAATCATGAGTGCAGAGCCAAAACATGGCAGTTTTGAACAGCACGATTATTTAGACAAAACAAAAAAAATTGAGCTCCATTTCACTTTTGAGTGTCGTCTTAAAATTCCAGCTGCAGGAAAGCGGGTTTATATTTTGAATTAAATTTACAACAAAACGAATGTTTGATGGAGCGAATGACCTCCATTCTTATACAATAATCTGCACAAAGTGCTGATCTGACGTTTCATCAGGAGGAAAGATTACAATGCTACGCATGCAGGAAGCATAACACTTTGACCTCTATGTCTAACTCGGCTCTCATTATTTGATGATTTTTATTATCATGTTATTTTTTTGGCCTATTGAATCGAAGGGCAGTGCACCCAATTAAGTACCGGTACACGATAAGCTCCACCGGTAAATTATGAAAATCAATGACTACAGGTGTACGGTCCTTAACCGGCCTAGTCCTTTAAATCCTTCTTCACAAGGGTAGCAAAAACATTCACCTGCCCAGAAAAAAAAACGATTTTTTTTTCTAGAAATCAAACAACATACTAAATAGTCCAAAGAATCCCAGGCCTGTTAAGTTTGTCCAAAATGCAAACACCACTGTGTCCTGCTGTATATTGGACGTGCTGAAGGTGCCCCGATTTCCAGTTTAAGTTCCAGTTTCCAGTTTAAGCAATTTTCATTTATCCTTGTTTGTAAATTATTTCGAACTCGACTTGTACAGAATACAACCAAATGAGTGCTTACAGGCACCTCTTACACGTCTTCGTGGTTGTAGTTATTCCCTGTATACAAATTGCGTGTTTTAAGCAGATCTACAATCCACAAGTCAGCTAACCAACAATGTGTATGCAATGAAATGAAAAGCATGCTTACTTTTAATGAACAGCTACGCTCATAATGCTCACATCCCATCGCAGAAGCAGCCATTTTTGCTGGAGTTTCATATAAATGTTCCCCTGTGTTCAGCTGTCCTAAGACTAAGAGTTGGAAATTTTTCAGTGAAACACCGCAACATAACGGGAGAGGGCGTATACCACCCATAAAATGCACTCGATACAGCCCTGCACTGTTTTTTAGCCGTAAACCAACATGTGCTGTTTGCGACGCCATGTTCCTACGGTCAAGCACACCGTATTTCATATAGTACTGTATTTATATTATGTATGTTAATATTATATTCAAAATTAGCAACGAACTGTATAAAACCATCATACATAACCAGTACTTGTGCTCTTTTAGATTTGTAAACGTTGAATTACAGTGTACAGTGTATTTTCAAAAAATAATAGACGCAGTAAAATATGCTGCCATTGTTTCTATTATTTATGATAAACTTAGTTGATTTATTCGAGCGCATATGTTGTTCAGTTAATAAGCAATATTCATACCTCGGCATATAACTAACACCCTGTGATAACATAACATCAACAACAACCATTGCAGATAAAATATATTTAACTACCAAATATGTTTATCAAATCAAATACACTTCAGTGTACAAATATTGACAGGTTAGTGCAGTTGTAAAATAGACAAACACTAAAACAATTCATAGCAAAAAATTGATTGCAACATAATACACATCAAAAGTAGGTGTTAAGTAAATATTACATTGAATATTACAGCAACAACGATACAGTACGTGTACAGTATACTGTATTACAGGCTAATAATGAATTTTTATTATTTTCCCAAAATAGAAAATATAATCACTATAGATATTCAGGTACGTGTAATATAATACAAAATTATACAGTTTCGTTACATAGAAAATTGCATGCAAAATAGATGCAATAGCGTAATTTTAGTGGTGATAGTCATTTTCAGTTACGTCCGACGTTAAAAATCAATTTTGCATCAACTCTAAAAATTGTTTATGCTTATGTAGTTTCTATACTGCACATGCGCTTCCGTACAATTCAATATAACATCGTCACAATTAGCAAAAGTTTGTGTGTTTTTTTCTCACTGAAGCACTGTTCACTAACGTTACAGTACGTGCTTGAATGTCACGGGTTAGTTTCTGTACTCCGAAGATAATGATGATATAATGACGTTTATAATTTTTAGCCACTAGATGGAAGCAAGACTCTAATGTTGGGACAACTGGCCTTCAGAATTGGAGTTACACATTGAGAAATGACATTGAGGTTGGATTATACATTTTTTAATGGATGGGTAATAGAAGATATATATAATGGGAGAATTCTGATTTAATGTAATTAGAGGAGTGCCACATTTATATCAATGATCTAAATTCTGGTATAGCACAGTTGTAGACAATACCAAATTAGGATGGTATTGTTAACGAATGCTAGAGAAGCAGTAAATGCAATTCACAAAGACTTACAGCAGATAAAACTAAACACTCAAATTTTTAATGCAGACAAATACAGAATATGGCATACAGATAGCAAAATCATATAGATATAACATGGGAACACTCCACTTGAACAGCCTGATATTTACTGTATGATTATATTATTTATATCTTCCAACGATGTGGCAAAGCAATAAAAAAGGCAAATTTGGCTATATTGTTAAAAGTTTAGAATTTAAATCAAGGCATATGTTAAAATTTTACAATGCACTAGAAGGACCACATTTAGAGTAATGTGTAAAACTTTGATCACTTGATTGAAAATCCATATATTTTTGCTTCTCTGGAATCAGACCAGAGAAGAGCAAAGGACACATTCCCTGGCTGAAAGGATCTGCTAAAAGAAGCAAACCTTTTTAGTCTTAAACAGAGAGGAATACAAGGAGACACAGTGGACTGCTTCAGAATCATCAGGGAAACATGCACCAGAGGTCACAAGTGGAAAAGGAGGGACTTCTCACAAAGGATTATGGGTGTTTGGATCAAGCTACCCAGCCATGTTTTCATACCATATTAAGAATGGGCTAGACAAATTGAGCTTAAGTCCAGGTGTGCTGAATAGGCATACTTTTTGTAATGTTTATTTTATTCTTATGTGCCTAAAGTGAAGTAATGAGGGAGTCTATTGGGTATAGAGAACTCTCTATTTACTGTATGTTAGTTGTGAGCACTATCAATTTATAGCTCTTGGATCCATGTGAAGGTTTATAAGTTTTAGACTTTTGTATGAATTTCACAGCTGATATATATATATATTATGTGTTTGATTAAATTATCTATGTGTGAAAATTAACTCCAACTAAAGTCAAAAGTTTCATATATCATATATGATATATATTATATATCATATATATATATCATATATTTCATATATTTAATGGTATGTTGAACCAGAACTTGTAGCTGATAAGTTTAACACTGACCAAACAGCTATGCAGTAGGTCTCAATTCCTTTATGCAGGCTTTACCCTAATACAGACATCAAGGTTTGCTGAGTATTTGTTGTTTGGGAATCTAATAAGATTTTAAAGGATAAATAGGTGTATTCTAAGCATTAGTGTCTCTTTTATATATTTATAATTGTTTTTTATAAATGTATATTATACTGAAAGAAGAACAGCACATACGAAACAAAGGGAATTTTATTCAGAAATAACAAAAAATGTTAAAATGCAGTACAAAAATTAAAATTAAAATTAAAATAATAATTGTGCAATGAACAGAAGTTCTGTTCTAGTGTATGTCTGGTTCAACCATTAGAAACATTTGCAGTAAGTGGGCCAATGGGGCCGTTTTCATAGTAACCTGCTACAATGAAGAAATGCAGAGGGCATTTCAAAGGTTCGTTTTCTAACATGTTTGTGTTCTCGATTATCAGCACATATTCATTTATTTGACTTCCAGCGGCCTCTCGCCCCCCTGGTTCACATCACCAGCGGAGACGCTCTCTTCGCTCTCGGAGGTTTCGTCACTGTTGCTGTCCACGGCCGGCGACGCTGTCGACTCCTCGCTGCTCTGGGCCTCGTTGCTGGGGCTGTCGGTGCCCTCCACGCTCTCGGTGCTCCCTGTTTGGCTACTTTCTTCGCTGCTCTGCGGCCCTGGGGCTTGACGCTCTTTTGGCGGGCTGCCTGGTGCATCCAGCCCTTGGCTTTCCACCTCTGGAGTGCTGGTGTCCTCATCCAACAAATCGTCAGTCATCCGCAGGGCCTGTGGAGCACAGAACAAGAGCTGTTGGTTTATTCTTGTTTCTTGTTTATGGCAAGCAGAACAGTGCTATCACAAATATTTATCAAAGTAGTCCTTTGCCCCTTTTTATCTTCTAATGTTTGTTACTAATTTATTTTACCTTCTATTTTGAGTATCCTTACTGGAGTTTATTATATAGTTTGGGTATAAAGTAGTTGTGTCATGTAATGCCTAGAAATGAAGAGAGAAAATGACCTTAAAAACCTTCAGGTCTTTTTCAATGGCGTTTTCTTCAATGTTGGTGTGAAGGGATTTGATTGGCTTCTGCTTTCCACCTACAGTGTTCTTGCTAATGAGGTTCATGCTTTTTTCCATTTTTTCAGCGTCGTAGTACATAGGTCCCTTTTCTATTTTGTTGCTCTTCAGGTACTCCATGGACTTCCTGTACGAATCATCATAGTATCCTATGCTGTCACCCCGAGCATCCCCTCTCCCGGTGGGCACGAACGGTGGAACGGTGGGCTCGGAGGTGAATGGAGGCTCAGCTGTGAAGGTCCCGGCAGTCGTTAGGTCTTCTGCAGAGTCTGACTCATCACTTTCATCTGCTTCTTCTGTGTCCTGTAACAAAAGTTTGCAACAGTGTCTCCTACCACTGAAATGTTTTTAATCTGGTTCACGGTAACCCTTACAACAGAAAGGTTTGTACATCTTATGTTTGAAATTATAATGCAATCCACTTTTTATCATTACTTTCAATGATAATAACAAACTAGACAGTGAATAAATTCAGTGATAGTAATACCCAGAGTAGGGATGACTTGACAGTTGCCATTATTCACACAAAGGGTATATGTATTCATATGTGGGATAATATTTATTATTACTTTAATTTATCATTTTTTTAAGAAAGGTGTAAAGCATAACATTATGAATGTGGTTAATGCATAATTATCCAGCAGTACAGAGTGAGTTATTACATTTGTGAGACTAAATTTATAAAGTCATGATACTGTATATGCCATTTACAAATAAAATGTAAATGGAATTTGTAACCCTTAATCAAAGCTATTGCTGTTTTTATATGGTTATGGTTAGTGAATTTAACATTTTCACTTACATTGTCCTCATCTGTATCGGTGCTATCAGTGGTATCAGCACTTTCATTAGATGCTACTTCTGGCTTCTGAAATATAAGGAATAAAGACATCTTTTATAACATTACCAAATATTTTTTAGATTTAGAGCAGCCCACGATTTCTTTCCATGGTAATCGTTTGTGTCAATATAATCTTACCTGACCCTCAGTAGAACTGTCAGAACTCTCATCAGATCCGGCTGTGAGGACCTGGAATATCATACCAACAACAGGTATTGGAAAGCATGCTCATAGTATACTCTGTCGCATTGTATGAGTACTGTTCTGACATCTGATTAAAACAAAAGTGTCAACAATGTTTTTGAAAAAACTGACACAAAGAGGGAATATTTTTTTTATGCAAGGAAATACTTGCCTTCCTATTTTCTTTCAACTTTTTCAACTAAAATGTAGTTTTTAATTGCATAAAACTACATTTCCAGAATTAAAAATACAGTAAATCCTTCCAAGTCAAAATCTGCATGAGGTCAAAACAGGGTATGAATGAGATCCTCTTTTTTCTACCAGCCAAATTAAAATGTGCAGTTAGGTCAGACTATCAAAGTTCCCTGATTTGATCTCATCTGATTAAAAAAATATATAAAACTGGTGTGTGGTGTGTGTGGGAAGGGGTAGGTAAATATACATTAGAAACAATGTTTACAAATTTGGAATGATAAAATATATTTGTCTAGCCTACTCATGTCACCCTAGTGTGGTTAAGTCAGTACCTGTGGTGTTTGAAGCACTATTGATTGTGCCTTGAGCTGTTTCTGAGCTTGGTTTCTATAGTTGTAGGCCTTAGATGTAGAACAGAAAAAATTTATTCAATGGCTTTGTTTTTTAAGACTTAACCACACAAAAATAAAATCCTGATCTCAATTCCTTTATATGAAATAAAATGATGTCACTTCTTTAGCTTGTGCTTTGTAAAAAGAAACACACCCCTAGATTCCAAAGTCCTACTGTATGTAAAACATCCCAATAAACTGTATATGTCAAATTTTCATCCTGATCCACACAGCATGCTGTAATTTCTCAAAGAATTTGTTTCTTCATCGTTCAGTAATAGTGGGAAAATATGGAAAATTTTCAATTACAAATGGAAATATGAATCCCAATTCATTTTATGCATCAGTGTTTACTTTTGGCAGGAATAGAAGGTTATTTGTGGTCAACCTAAAAATGAAGACATTCTAGGCAATTTTAGTATGGCCTGGCTTGATGGGCCAAATGATTGTAGCCATTCTTAAAGTTAGAGCACACAATAGAAACTGCTGTTGTGAGGCTTATCTTTCAACACATCTTTAAAAAACATGCTGAATTTTGTATTTTTAATTCCAATTCAGATTAGCAGAAACTTCCATGCTCTGAGTGCCTCATGTGACCAAAAAAGTCAAGTCATTTCTATTAATCCATAACATGTAACAAATGTGACTCACTGCTCCTGTCTGTTGTAACCACACAAGCCAGGCATGTGTTTCCATTATAGTGATGTATTTTGCTCTGTTTTAATAAGCTGCTGTAATGTGTCACTGGAGAAAAGTGTACCAATTGGAAAGTTCTTATAATATACTGTGTACAAAATGACAAGGATCCTACCTGCTGTTCCTCAGAGCTGTCCTGCTTCATTCTACTGAAGGAGCGTCGCATCTGAAGTAAAACATTGGACTAAGTATCATGAATTTATCAACATTAAAACACCAAAGGCAGGATTTCAAATGTATATTTCTTTTGGTCAAACATATTGGAACAGTGCTCAACAACTTAAAGTGTTTTGTGATGTATTGTTGTTTTGTTCTGATTAGTAAAATTGTGCATACTCACAGGCAGGCAATACACAGTGCCCAGCAGGAAGAATAACAGAAATGAAGTTTTCATCACTACTGATTTTCACCTGATAAAAACAAAAAAACATTATTTTAATATTTGATTAATATTCTAGCTACACTTTCCATGGCACACAACACTTGAACTTTCACACATTTGTATTCTAGCCTCAAGTATAAAGTAAAACAAAAAAAACATTGGTAATTATTTCCCATCGGTGGCAAGATGTCTTGATTAATGTATTTCCCAGTCTTGTGGTTCTGGAGGTTTGGGCTAAAATGCAAATAAGATCATCAGCAAGTTCACATGCTTGAGTTTGTCAGCTGGCATTCTTTATGATTACTGTAGGACTATTTTTCATAAAAGTTGGGATTTTCAGAAAGTGATTTGAAACAAAGCAAAGGATATATTTAGAGTCTGAAACACCTTAGCAAGTCTATGACACTTTGGCACACAGGCAATTCGGGTTTTTTCAAGGGTTTTCCAGAGTTAAATTTTCAGTCTTACTAAAATAATAAATGTCCTTTTTCATTGTAATATTAAGTGTTACATACTGTATAGCAGCAAGGTAAAAGGCTTGTTGCTCTTGGCAATGTGAAAACTGTTAAATCGTTTAACATGATTTTTTAAACTATGCTCCCTGGAATGTCATATGCCTCTGAGTGATATGTAATATATAAAGAATCACAGCAGTGCAGTCAAGCAGAAAAGACTCTGCAGTCTGCCTGCATAATTTAAGGCCAATTTTCTCCATTTCACAAAATGCTGAATTGCCTTGTTAAGGTTTTATATTCCTTTATCACTGGATATTGAGTTGACAGGTTTTATGATGAAATGGCCTTTTTATTGTATTGAAATGAATGCATGTGGGATTGAGTTAACAACATGTTTTAACACAAAAACAACTCTTGTGCTTTGACAGTACCTCAATCTAACCCTCATCAAGTAAGCATATAAGCCATTCAGTTGAAAGCAACGAAAGGGATGTTTCAGCATGACACGAATGAAGTGAATGAACTCTCATTTCATAATGATGCCAACAATAAAAAAACTATAATAAGTCCTGACTGAAAACCACACAGCTCTGCCTCTTTTTTCCTAAGTTGAGTTTAATTACTCCGAGAAGAGTGTAGTTTTTAGTTAAGTGTAAATCCTGGCAGACTCTGGGGGAAACATTGTGGCTTTCCATACTAATCAGATTCAAACCAAACTTTCCTTCAGACTCTTCTATATTCCATATTAACTACAGCTGCACATTCCTTGAGCCATTGAGCCATGAAGTGCCATTTCAAGGTAGTTATGCAATTTCAGAAAAAAAACACAAAAAAGTCTAAATAAAAACCTACTTTAAAATGTAATTTTATGGCTTGTCAGTTTCTTTTCTGTAAATTCAATGACTCTGCTCCCACCCTCCCCTATTCTCTCTTGAGAAACAATGCCGACCGTAAATTGGAGTTTTATTTTTCAATGAACGTCTCACAAAAGATCTTTTGTGGGCACATTTGCTGGGAATGTGAGATTGTGGTTACGTCCTTTCACAATGTAATCAGTGCATGACTGGACTGCAGAGACTGTCACTAGGGTTTATTTGTCTGAAATCTGTAAGCAGATATACAGTGACATTTGATGTCTTTGCTAATAATTATTTCTTAGGCCCCCTGTTTGGTGGGAACCAAACCATAAAAAAATCAGTTTGTTTTTTATACAATATACAGTATAATAACACCATTTATAAATAATGATACTCATCTGGTAAAAAGAACAAATATAACAATCACAATATGAATAGTATCAAAACAATTATCATAAACTATAAATGGTCAAAGCTTGTTCCTTGCAATTCTAGGTTGGAAGCAAAATAAAAGACCACATTTCACTGAAATTCATTGACAATGCATTATAATCTCAGATCTGTACTACAATGAAATATTTCCGCATGTTGCAATTTTGTTTCTGCATCACCTATTTGCCATAGCACATCCAGACATAGATGAGATCAGTGAGCACCAGCCAATCACACACAGCCTCCTCAGGCCACCCATCTTTTATTCTTCTGTAGACTTGTCAAACATCTGGGTCAGTGGAAAGAAAATTCTGTTTCTGTCTGGCATTTTCATGTTTGTGTTTATTCCAATGTATGTTTCCATTCCCAAAAAATTATTTCAGACAATAATAGGACACATATGTATTGTATAAATAATTCTGGATCACAAAACACACAAGAGTGACTACTCATTTAGTTAATAGTAATAATTATTATAATAATAATAGTTGTAAACACAGGAACAGATTTCACAACCACATAAAGAAAAGATCTGCTGTTTTTCAGAAGATATCTATGAAAATGTGAATCTAAATTCTTTAAATTGACCATTTTTTTCTATTTTTTCAGTTTGCTCATAAGAGCCTTTAAATACATGAAATACATGTGTCAGTACTACCACTGCATAACACCAGAATGCAATAAAAATATAATTCAGAAGATAAGCGCATGGTAGCACATCGTCAGTGTCAATGTCGTTAGTGCCCTTACACACTATGCAGTATTTCAAGGACAGTTTCAAGACCTTTCTTGTTGAGTTACAAGATCTTTTTGCAAGATTGACAAAAAAAGCTTATTAAGCCAACGTCTTGCTCCATTGTATTGTCATTCATGCAGTAATTAGACATTGAACACTTTACCTTGACTCTTTTTTTGAAGATAAATGCAGCCACTTGTTGCTGAGCTTGAGGGGTTGTCCTGTTATTAAGCAAAACAATGCTTCAGTCTACTTCAGTGCTTCGATGTCGTGTAAAAGCAACTGCGTGGCTTTTAAACTCTGCTTTAGGCAGAGCCAGCCAATAGACAGCAAGGCTGTGATGTCATGAGGTTTACCACTGGAGTCCCACCTTTATTCTCCCACTCTTCCTGTGGTAACTGTGGCAAGTCAAGGCAAACATTCACCAATTCGTACAACATGTGAAAAAACATGATATCCTACACTGTCATTGTCGGTACCCAATGGATGCTATCAAAATGTGTATATATTTATTATATGCTCCAATTGCATTTGTTGTTGTTGCTCTTTTTAGTGTAGTTTACTCTTTAAGATTTGGAGTAGGAGCAAAGACAGTTCCAAAAATCACTCAGCTCTTGCTACTATCATTCTTTCTGTTTATTCTTCTAGTACTGCAATTTGTCATGTCAAACACAACAAGCAAATCGTAAATGTTCAGAGAGAAAGGGTACAAGCTACAATGATGACCTTCTATTGTCAAATCAAAGATGAGCTATTTTATAATCTGGGAAACACACCAAGGCACTGGCCTGCCTGAAGAGAGACCGTGAGCGGAATACAAAGAGAAGTCATACACTCAAGGGAATAATTAACTGAGAAAGAAAAAAAAAGGTCATCATAATTAATTAATTAAAACTTAAACTTTTCTTTAAGCAGACAAAGACAAATCCATAAACAAGATCTATATCCATATGCCAGTTTTAGTCTGATCAGCTCTGGTTTTGGAAGATTATTTCATTTGCATATGAAGACAGCAGCTCTCACAGGGGAGTCAGTGTGGATAGTCATTGTCAAAGAGAGATTACAATTTTCAATGTGATTTATTAATAGAATACTGTATACTTGTTACAGCACATTTTATTGGCCATGACTGGCTTGACGGAAACACTGATAGCGTGATTGATAGGCATGTGCCAATGTGTCAGCTATTCCTGTACATCAAGTCAAAAAAAAAGAACTGTAACTTCTGGTATCCATGCTCGGGAAAAAAGGGGGAAAAGTCATTGAAGCTTTAGAATGTTTGCACTTAATTCCTCACATTACTTTAAGTAATGTGCTGTTCTGTACACCTCATCTGATGTAGGGTATCAAGAGTACAGTGAATAGGACGCATTCAGTTGAAAACAAGTGAAGAAAGTAGTTGTTTCTCAAAAGAGCAAAACTCACATGGAACACTTGTTTAGTGGAAGCCTGTAAACATAGAGGATCTCTTACGAAGTCTAGTCAACTTCACCTCCTGACAGCTCAATGACACAATCAGTCAGTGATTTTATCCTAGAAACCCCCTGCAGAGGAAAGAAGTCCATTTAAACCTAAAAATAGCAGGGCCTTTTTTTACAAAGAATGTTCTGGCAATAAATTGTGAGCTACCCAGGAATGCTTATGAAGACAATTCCCTTGCTGTTTTCAAGAAATAGCTGGAAGAAATCCTTGGATCAATTAGCGACTATTAGCTATGAATGTCCTCTTCTTTTCTATAATCATTGTTATGCTCTTATGTACACAGAAGGCTCTTTTTTGGAGTATGTGATTGTATCCATTGGAATGGAGTATTTTGGAGCTGTACTGAATACAGTTGCTTTCATTTTCCTTCAAGATGTTTACCTGAGTAACATATTTATGTAAATCAAGTTTAAATTGTGCAATGATACAGTTAAAGGGTAAAAGGGTTTCTCTACATAAGTAGGAATTTCTGGACATACTGTACTGTACCTGATATTTACATTTGTTTACATGTATTTGCATTGTTTTACTAAAGAGTACCAGTTCATCACAGGGTCTACCCCAGTCAATATTGGTTCTAATTCATACAGTTGGGTGGACAAGACCTACTGGGGTAACAGACCTCACCTAAGGTTTGTCTGCAGCAGGGACTGTAACCCACAATCTACTGGTATCTTACCCACTGTGCTGGACAAAGGTCCCTGAAAAAGAGGGACTGAGCACAATGCCTACAAACACGAAAGCACAAAATTATATTATTGGAAAGTACAGGACTTACAGTTGCCTGCACTCAAATGAGGTTTTATTTTTACATTATTTTAAAAAATGGTTATAACTCGGATTTTGCATCCTGTCTAAATTATAGCTTTATTATATTGGATGATATTTGACCTTTTTTAGTCTTCACTTTTTAGATAAAGCATATACTGTATTATATAGTGAAAACATTTGCAAGAGAGTGCATGGTATACATATACTGTAATTAACTTCACTCCTTGATTTAAAAAGATACCCAGACAGTTCCACATTCCTTTAATTCTAATATTGCAAATGAAACATAATTAACTTGAAGTAATACACAAAACCTGCCTGTACAGGTAGCATTTAAAGGGATTTTAATGTTTTTTTGGTATTTCAGTTTAAAGTGTTCCACTCAAGGCGACAATAAAACTGTCTGCATTCCTCTTTTTGTGTATAATCATATTAAATTTGCAGTACACAGTAATTTTCCTTCTTTTTTTAAAATAGTCAAGAACATGATTTAAAATTGTCCTAGAGTGTGTGTGTGTAGAGTGTGTAGTCTTGATGTTTATGAACAGGAATATTAACAGAACCAGAAATAACTACTGAACAATAGTCATGAACAAATGAGTTATAGTACAAAATACCAGTTAATCTTTTGTTTATTGTATTTTTTTAAATAGATAAACATGTTTTCAATATTTTGTGGGATTTCTAGATTGACAATGGCCTACAAAATGGGTCCATTCAAAACGCTATGCTACCCTGAACATTCTAAGATTTCTTTACTTTTTTCTGTATGAAAACATAACAGTGAACTTATTCTAAAATACTACTCTGTAATATAGCATAAAATAAACTGTGAAAAGATTTATTAATTTGTGTGTAATTTCCATACCTTTGTTAAAATCATTTATGAGCTTTTTCTTGAGTATAGGCAAAATAAAAATGAATTATTCTTTAAAATATTTGTCACCTAGGCAAACACTTTAAAACAGTTTTATAAAAATAAAACTCTGAAACTCAAAATTATCTAAATAAATACCAAATTCAGCACCTCTTTAAAAACAGTCACAGTCAATATGTTAAGACTTGCTACCAGAGACTTTGTACAATTCAACAGTTAACATTTTCTATTATCATACTTGAACAAATGGAGCCTGAATCTGCAATATCAATGTGTCCTATAAGTCTGCTACTTATAAATCCTTTGTGAGACATACAGTAGACTAAAACAAAGATACTATACAATACAGCCACAAAACCACAGGCATACAGTACATGGATTTTCCATATTTTTTATTGTGATATAAAATACTTTCCCATTGCTTTTAGCTGACAGAGTCACTTTCAGAAAGGTACAATAGTGTCCATCAAATATTTGAACTGATTTGGGAGTCATGTAAATGGATTAAAAATACAAAACAGGTTCTGAAATATGGGCCTCTTAAGTTGAAATGGCTATACCTTATACAGTACCTTCATTTGGGGCTTGTATGAAGCATGGAAGTACATGGAAGATCAACTGAGATAAATTAAAATGTGGCAACAAAAAGTACAGTGTTAGAAGGGTAGATTCAGGCATCATGGCTAGGTGACGGAGGAAGACAGAACATTCATATTTCTCCATCTTTACTCAACCTACCATGCTATTAGAATTAATCAAATGCAGGTTTCCCAAAATACTGTAAATATGTAGGTGAAAACATTTTAAAGAAGACCCTCTGTCATAGAGTTCATAGATCAGATTCAAGAAAAGGTCTAAAAATCAAACAAGCAATATGAGCCAAATGGCCTCCTGTTGTTAGCCAACACTGTATTCGGAGTGATTTGGAGTCTCACATTTTTTAAACCTTACGATCAAAACATATATTTAATGTATATGTAGTTTTAAAATGACCCAATGTCTGGAAACATTAGGTTTTTATTTTTTTTTGGCCAAAAAAAAAATAAAACCCAAGAATAATTTAACAAGTTTTTTTTAAATACTAAGTTCAGTATTAAAATTTCTAAATGTAGTAACTAGAAGAACTTGAAAATCAGGTTCCTAATAAGGTTCCTAATAGCCCATTTTGTAAATGGTATCATTTTAAATGAAAATATAACATTAAGCATTGTTGAATTAAGCAACTTGTGTTATTGGAGTCTAAGCAAAATAGTTGAGTTTAAAGAAAAACCTTTAGTTGTTTAGTTGTCTGTGTCTGTGAATAGTGTTATCTAAGAATACTTACTGTACCTAAACAATAATACTCTTCTTTTCCATAATGACTTTCAATATTTTAGTGTGAAGCCACATCATTCTTGTGTTGTGGTTGTCGTATTCCATAGATAGGTCATTCCTGAACTACAGACCCACAATGTGGTGATTGTCTGGTGTTTAGGATTTGAAGCCATTGGGTCAGGTCAATAGTGTGGTCCCTGTCTCAATGAAAATAACATATGGATTCAATTGCACTGATGTCTACAGGACGACTTTATTAAGCTGGAGCAAACGCTGGGTATAGCCACCTTTTATAGTTTAAATCCTGTAAAATATTTTAAACCATTGCAGCAAATGGTTTCAAACTTCATAATCTGTAAAGATTCCATTATGTTATTACTTTAAACTGCCCTTTGCATGTGTGCATGCCCCTTTTTTGGAATTTAAGAGACCACAAAATTACTGTCAAACGTTTTTGCCCATTAAAGTTATTTATTTTTACTCTGGGCTGACAGCTTCAGCATAAAAAAAAACTATAAATCTTCACAAATGTTCAAGTTACAGGAAAACTGCTGTTGTTACATATTTGTTATATGAAATTGTTTCCAAACACATTCTTCCAGCAGTCTTTGTGTATTTATATATTCATTGTTATTTTTTATATTTTATTTTACTTCATGCATATTTTATAAGTGTTTCTGTGTTGCCACAGTGTTTATATATACTGTATTCAGCCTTCTCACTAGTCTTTACATGAACATTTAATTGAATTATTACATTTCATAAACTTATTTATGGGTGTTATTGCTTTGTTACTGAATCACTCATTTCTCTACAACATTAAATTAACTT